TAAGAAGAGGTGGCAAGAATACACAGAAGAACTATACAAAAAAAGATCTTCACCACCCAGATAATCACAATGGTATGATCACTCACATAGAGCCAGATATCCTGGAATGTGAAGTCAAGTGGGCCTTAGGAAGCATCACCATGAACAGAGCTAGTGGAGGTGATGGAATTGCAGTTGAGCTATTTTAAATCTTAAAAGAGGATGCTGTGAAAGTGCTGCACTCAATATGCCAGCAAATTTGGAAAACTCAGCAGTGACCACAGGACTGGAGGAGGTCAGTTTTCATTCCAGTCTCAAAGAAGGCAATGCCAAAGAATATTCAAACTACCGCACAATTGCACTTATCTCACACACTAGTAAAGAAATGCTCAAAATTCTACAAGCCAGGCTTCAATAGGACATGAATTGTGAACTTCCAGATGTTCAAGCTGGATTTTAAAAAGGCAGAGGAACAAAAGGTCAAACTGCCAGCATCTGCTGGATCATTGAAAAAGCAAGAGAGTTTTAGAAAAACATCTACTTCTGCTTTATTGATTATGCCAAAGCCTTTGACTGTGTGGATCACCACAAACTGTGGAAAATTCTGAAAGAGATGGGAATACCAGACCACCTGATCTGCCTCTTGAGAAATCTGTGTGCAGGTCAGGAAGCAACAGTTAGAACTGGACATGGAACAACAGGCTGGTTCCAAATAGGAAAAGGAGTACGTCAAGGTTGTATATTGTCACCCTGCTTATTTAACTTGTGTGCAGAGTACATAATGAGAAAGGCTGGGCTGGAGGAAGCACAAGCTGGAATCAAGATTGCTGGGATAAATATCAATAACCTCAGATATGCAGATGACACCATTCTTATGGCAGAGAGTGAAGAAGAACTAAAGAGCTTCTTGATGAAAGTGAAAGAGGAGAGTGGAAAAGTTGGCTTAAAGCTAAGCATTCAGAAAACTAAGATCATAGCATCCGGTCCCATCACATCATGGCAAATAGATGGGGAAACAGTGGAAACAGTAACAGACTATATTTTGGGGCTTCAAAATCACTGCAGATGGTGACTGTAGCCATGAAACTATTTGGAAGAAAAGTTATGACGAACTTAGACAGCATTTTTAAAAGCAGAGACATTGCTTTGCCAACAAAATTCTGTCTAGTCAAGGCTATGGTTTTTTCAGTGTTCATGTATGGATGTGAGATTTGGACTATAAAGAAAGCTGAGCACTGAAGAATTAATGTTTTTGAACTGTGGTGTTGGAGAAGACTCTTGAGAGTCCGTTGGACTGCAAGGAGATCCAACCAGTCCATCCTAAAGGAAATCAGCCCTGAATATTCATTGGAAGGACTGATGCTGAAGCTGAAATTTCAACACTTTGGCCACCTGATGCAAAGAACTGACTCATTTGAAAGACCCCGATGCTAGGAAAGACTGAGGGCAGGAAAAGAAGGGGACAACAGAGGATGAGATGGTTGGATGGCACCACTGACTCATTGGACATGAGTTTGAGTAAACTCCGGGAGTTGGTGATGGACAGGGAGGCCTGGTGTGCTGCAGTCCATGGGGTCACAAAGAGTCAGACATGACTGAGCTGAAACTGAAAGAAGTCTGAATTTTATTCCTGGCATACGGGCTAACATGGCTAAGTGAAAGTTGCTCAGTTGTGTTCGACTCTTTGCAACACCATGGACTACATAGTCCATGGAATTCTCCAGGCCAGAATACTAGAGTGGGTAGCCTTTCCCTTCTCCAGGGCATCTTCCCAACCCAGGGATTGAACCCAGGTATCCCACATTGCAGACAGATTCTTTACCAGCTGAGCCACAAGGAAAATCAAGAATACTGGAGTGGGTAGACTATCTTTTCTTCATCAGATCTTCCCCACCCAGGAACTGAACCAGGGTCTCCTTCATTGCAGGCAGATTCTTTACCAACTGGGCTATCAGGGAAGCCCTATAGGGAGCCACTGGCAAAAGAATGGCATGATTTCACTTGAAATTTTAATTGATTAATAAAACTTTTCTATGCAGAACAGACTGGGATGGAACAAGAGTGGGGCAGGGACAACTATGAGGAGACTATGAGACCAGTCGAGGTAAGTGGTGATGGTTCAGTTCAGTTCAGTAACTCAGTCATGTCCGAATCTTTGCAACCCCATGGACTGCAACATGCCAGGCTTCCCTGTCCATCACCAGCTCCAGAAGCTTGCTCAAACTCATGTCCATCGAGTCAGTGATGCCATCCAACCATCTCATCCTTTGTTGTCCCCTTCTCCTCCTGCCTTCAATCTTTCCCAGCATCAGGGTCTTTTCCAGTAAGTTAGTTTTTCCCATCAGGTGGCCAAAGTATTGGAGTTTCAGCTTCAGCATCAGTCCTTCCAATGAATATTCAGGGCTGATTTCCTTTAGGATGGGCTGGTTGGATCTCCTTGCAGTCCAAGGGACTCTCAAGAGCCTTCTCCAACACCACAGTTCAAAAGCATCAATTCTTCAGCACTCAACTTTCTTTATGGTCCAACTCTCACATCCGTAAGTGACTTCTGGAAAAACCATAGCCTTGCCTAGATGGACCTTTGTAGGCAAAGTAATGTCTGTGCTTTCTAATATGCTGTCTAGGTTGGTCATAGCTTTTCTTCCAAGGAGCAAGTGTCTTTTAATTTCATGGCTGCAGTCAGCATCTGCAGTGATTTTGGTGCCCAAAAAAGAAAGTCTGTCTGTTTCCATTGTTTCCCCATCTATTTGCCATGAAGTGATGGGACCAGATGCCATGATCTTGGTTTTTTGAATGTTGAGTTTTAAGTCAGACTTTTTACTCTCCTCTTTAACCTTCATCAAGAGGCTCTTTAGTTCCTCTTCGCTTTGTGACATAAGAATGGTGTCATCTGCATACCTGAGTTTATTGATGTTTCTCCTGGCAATCTTGATTTCAGCTTGTGCTTCATCCAGTCTGGCATCTCACATGATGTACTCTTCAAAAAAGTTAAATAAGCAGGATGACAATATACAGCCTTAATGTGTACCTTTCCCAATTTGGAACCAGTCTGTTGTTCCATGTCTGGTTCTAACTGTTGCTTCTTTATCTGCATACAGGTTTCTCAGGAGGCTGGTGAGGTGGTCTGGTATTCCCATCTCTTAAAGAATTTTCCATGGCTTATACTAAAGTAAGGGTATGGATGAAATCAGATGGATTCAAAGTGTACTTCATTCATTAGTAAGCTGAGAAATTGCCAGACATTTTCAGCTGAGAGATTGGTTGTGGGATGAAAAAATGGAAAAGGATAGCTGATATAATTTTTGTCACTAAATATGCAAACACACTATTTCAATGCAGTGCCACAATTGCTGCTAAGTTGATGTATACATAGTTTAATGACTCTATAGGGAAAGATGTATCTAAGGATTCCTGAAAGAGTTAAGAATGTTATATAAGGAACTTGAAGGATAAACATGGTTATGTGCTGTGTAGAGATGAAGAGAACTGAACTTGTTGAACTTACCATTCACTAGTTGAACTTCTGCCCTCTGCTCCTCACATTTCCTCATTTCCCTATATTTCTTATGTTAAGTAATAATATTGCCACAACTTAATCTCCAAAGTTATGTCCTGTATCCCACTGTCTACATACACAATAAATCTAGAGTGAATGTTACTCAATATTGAAAAACATTAGATGAATTACCTTCAAAATAAGGAAATGATAAGGGCTACTATTACTACTTTCTACTACTTTCAATAGTAGTATTGAATATTGTATTCAATATTGTATACAATATTGTATTCAATACAATATAGTATTATATTCAATATTCTCTTGAGGTTTTATTTAACAAAGTAAGACAAAAAAATAAAATTAAGATATAGGATTAGATGTAAAGACTTTTATGTTTTATCGTCAGATGATATTGTTATATAGAAATAT